GGGAGATTGGCATGGCACAGGCGACACTATTCTAGAAGCAAAATATCTTCGAGGGGTGTGATTAATTTGATTTAATTTTTAAAAATTCCACAGAACTACAACGGTTGCAGTTCGTTTCCTTGAGATAATCTCAATATTGTCGCAAGCCCGCACTTTTATATAGTCTCTGTTATAAAGCTAAAACCGCATTCCTTTCCTGTTTCAAAAGCACGGTTACAGTTCTCGACATCGCCTGATTACCTTGTCAGTCGTTGGTCACTTCACAAAATTGAGACTTTTTATATCTATTTCAACTGTCTCAATTAACGAGCCTAATCTTTTTCCTTCCGTATGAACATTTCATTTGTATCAGATTTATGCCGTTTCGTCTTTCGTTTGGTTTCGCTTTGTGTTGCTGCGTAGTGAATTTAGGACATATTTCCATTTGTGTGTGGATTGCTCGCACGCAGCCTTATTTTCCTCAAATTACATCTTCGAGTCTATCACTTTGCCGTTGTTTTGAATCAGGTTTGGCAGTTCCGTAGTTATTGTATTTATTCTTAAAGTTTGTTCCTTGTAACGAAGTCTTATAATATAAGGACTTATTTTATAACATTGAAGCTCTTAATTACATTATATAATTATTCCGTCCTCAAATATTATGCCCAGGTTATCTTATTAATTCGAGACAAAAGCCTGTCAATTTTTATTTCTTCTTTGCTCAGCAGAGTTAGCCACAGAAGCTGTTTAAATCTTAACATAATTAACCTATTGTCACCCACAAAATATTCAAGTTCACCGTTGCTTTCAATTTGATCAAAAATGAGCTAATGGTGCAGTATGTCTATAATTATGACAATCAAAGTGTTTTAGCGTACGTGCGGCTAACAAAATTGGCATTGATGCTGTTGTCATTGTTACTGATCAATTTATGAGCAGTAATACATTAACGTTTTTTTTTTGTCCTGGTGGGAAATGTTTTGACACAGTTTGATTGCATTTATTAGTCTTTTTATTTTATTTTTTGAATGTGGGAAACACTTGATCAGCATTTCTATGTACGTGCACTGATTGACATCATTAATTCGCCAGGTGTAAGCATCCAAGATGCGCCCTAATCTTAAATCGTTCTGTTTCCGGTGCGGTTCACGCTCCATTATGCGTTTTCAAGCTTGAGGTCCAACGGTCTTTGATATTTCACACCACTGGCGTATCCAGAGGGCAGCGGGGAGCAAGTGACCACCCCTAGACGTGTTTGTTTGTTAATTTTCTCTTTTGGGGAAAAAACTTCCACTTTGCCTGTAGAACCAAGCCAACTTACACCATTGTTCTACATCATTAACGACTTAATCCTATTGTGTTTGGCTTTGCTCTTAGGTCAGATAGCAAATTGCGTAACGACTTCCAAGGGGAATTAGCAGAAAGCGAAAAATAGGCCTAAGCAAAGACATTCTTTCTGACATAGGCCCCCTATGTTTGGAGGCAATATATAGCTCTTTGCTATAAAACTGTCTACCGAGAAGCAGTTGTATTTAGTAACAGAAGATGCTCTCACGATTGATCAGATCGGACCCATATTAAAGCGTATGTTTTGATTTTACAGTATAACCTCTGTACCTTTTGTCCTTTTTCAACCTGAAGCCATACGTTGTCAAGTCCACGTCAATTCAAAATCAAATGTCCGTGTAGCCTAGAGACTGCCAGCAATTAGGCCCAATTGTTCCTATCCTTATCGTGCCCATAGGGGACTTCACGTCTTCGAAATTCACTTCCTTTGTCAACTGCTGTATATAGGCCTGAGCGCTCATCGTGTCACAAGAACAAAATATTAATATTAACCCCACCAAAGCGCGCCCAAGATCTGGTGTTTGCTTTCGTGACTTTTTTCTTGTCATGGTTTGATATCAAGATCAATCACTTTTGTATATTCTCAGAATTGGGATAGATGAGTTACCCCAGTTAAGAGATTGGCTTTGCAATGCAGAATTATGGGACCTGACTCTAACTGTACATTTCGCACGAGTTCAAAATACACAACGGTTGGGTATTTTTGGAACACTGTTAATTTAGCAAAATATTAAATATTTCATACCAACCAAACTAAGGAATTGTCTGTATTGTCAGTTGGATTTAGAAGCACGAGTGAGATGAGGTCAAGCGAGCTTAATTCATTCACGCACCTGTCATAGCACGGAGACGCTTTGAAAAAGTATTATAATCAACAAGAAATTGAACATCTCCTCTTTCCATTTGTCTGCAGTGCAATAAATAAGTAGCGAAAGAGAAAGAAAAGGAGAGCATATTGTCATTGCACTGTATAAAATGTAGCGCTCCTACCGAATTAATTTTTCACCCAGTAACCGAAATTAATGCGAAGTTCTGGATGGTTGCTTAGTTGTGAGGTAGCGAGTATCTGTTATACATGTATTTATGTTCATTATTCACTGACCCAAGTTATTTGCGTTCAATTCACACCCTCCCGATTAAAAAATAATGAGAACAGATATCAGAGTGGGAACCGTTCACAGACGAACACCGACAACAGTGAATGGAATAACCGCTTCCGCAACGGTTCCATCTTACCTAGAGAATTTGGTGAATAGTTTTTCTGAAAACAAACTCTGCGGCTGTGTTTCTTGACCTGTTTAATGTGAACTGTTTTGTTGATATTAACTTAATTCTAGTTGGTTAGCTTCTTATAGGTTGACAAATACTATCTTTCACGAAGAGCTTCAAAAGTGTGGGTGCATCCCAATGAGGCATATACATGTACATTTAGGTATAATTCAGAGCATGTGCTTACATTTTAAAATGTAAGTTGCTCTTGCCAATATAGTCTCAATTTACTTTAAATTATTTGGCTCAGCCGAATTAGGAAGCAAGTGCATTAATTATTGTGGAGTAATCGAATGAGTGGGCGAATCGGTAGGCTTATACATTGAGGTATATTTGATAATAGGAACTTGCGAGGATGAACCTAAAAAAAATTTGTAAATACATCGTTCTTCTTGACAGCAAATCTGGTCGCAAATACCTTAGGAGTTCGGCGTAAATTAAGTCTGATAGCCGATGTAAATTACTTGACCAATTTTATGCTCTAGATGGTTTCGTGTCCATCTCCATTGATGAACCGCGTGGCACGTTTTGAATGCCCTCTCAAGAGTACAAATCGTTGTTTCATCGACTTCAGGAATGGACTTAATTCCGTGCCAGACATGCTGGGTTGTGCTTGGAAACTGTGATGGATCGGTTTCCGGGAAGTGCCGTTCTCGTCCCGCAAATACTCGTTAAATATTAATTCCAGAATTTTATTATTGAAAATGATCTGTATGAAAGGTATAATCTAATTCTTCTCTAATGAAGAATATGGACGGGGAACATTGAGCAGAAGCCCCTTTTATTGATGTGCAGAGATGAATTAATTTGGCCGCGACATTTCTGCGCGTGATAGAAATGAAAAGCTCTATATTCGTGGGAAGATTTGTGGCTGTCCCCAAAATGCAGTGCGGAATTCAGATCAACTTGTTTCTGTGAGTATTACTATGTGCTACAATGCAAAAAAGATCCGAGTACTTGTTTCAATTGGAAGTGAAAAGGTGGTGGTTTCCCAATTGTTAGAAAACATTTTCATCAACATATGCATGAGTTCGTTATTCTGATGTCATGCAAGGCACTCCTTGTCAAAGGGTCATTGTAACATGTGTATAAAGCTGTGTATTCAAGTTACAAAAATCCTATTACATGCTTCCTTTAAAGTCTATATACCTCCCAACAAGAGTGCTATTGGTCGTCAAATTCTGTCATGTATCCCAGCACCCGTATGTTTGTGTCGCCACTATTGGGTTTTCATGTTTTTATACTCCCTGAAGCGTGACATTTTTCATTAGTTAGGATCAATCGAGTATAAAAAGCCATTAATTTTCCACGCGATTGTGTATCTAGTTCTGCTGTCACGCGGTCCAGGAAACGAAAAGATACAGAGAAATCGAAGGGGGGATATGACCTTTGATTGAGAACATCACTGTACTGGCGACATCTGCTATAATACATAAATATGCCATGCATAGACAAGATTATATGAAATGCATGGTTGGGGAAGTTGCAGTAGACTTTGTGTCTGCCAACAAAATGTCTCCCTGGCGAAGATAATTGTCTCCGCGATCCTCAGTTTCAGCATAGAAGACGCTGGAGTTACTTCATATACAAAAACATGAGTAGATAACCGGGATAAATGGTGGCAAAAATTAATCAAACAGTGTTCACATTTTCATCACGGAATTGTGCTACAGTAATGTTGTACGATAGTGGGAGACAAATTTTAGAAACCTGGATAATTACAACTGCAGGAATGTAAATCATACGGCACATCACGGCACATGATGTTACTTACCGGTATACTGCGTCTCCCATTCTGCTCCGATGATCGCCTGGATAAAATTGAAGGGTAGAAATTAAGAGCTGGGGCACTGATCTGGAGACAAAGTCTCATCTGATCAGTTCTGGGACTGTGCCACCTACAAATCCATGTTTGCGAGTGGGAACGGGGAATTTCACAATGAGGTCTAAGTTAGCTTTTGTGGATCATTTAATGCCAACTTCTTGTGATGAGATCTTTCTGTTTTAAAGGCGACTGTGTCTGTAATGGCGTTGACCGTAGGTCACTTATGGGTTTATGCACTACCCCATACCGAATGCACACACCTTGTGGGTTTGTTTTACACCTTGACACAATAGCTGTGCATTAATGACCAAAGGAAGACGTTTGGGCTTTTCAAAATCATACTGAGCATGCACTTGTTCCAAGATCGCAAATTCCTTACGGGGTGCTAGGCTGGCACTGATTGTGATGGTCGAAGTGCAGGGAACCATTTTTAGCAAACAATTCAGCGGCACTGTTTTGCTGCGTTACGTTGAGTGCAGTATGCTCAAATTTTATAATGTAGTTGAATTCAACACGTCGTATATTCTTTATATTGCTCCTTCAATAATGAATTGGGTGCTTTCCACTTTCTCCTTGGCAGTTATGCGCTGCGGAAGAGGTCAGCGACAAGGAAAAATATGGCACCTTCGCCCGCACCTTCCCTACCAATAAGCAGTTCTCCAAGTCGGTAGTGACTCTTCTTAATCACTTCAGCTGGCGCGTAGTGTCGATTGTAGCCGCTGACCTACCTAAACACCAGAGTGCCAAAGCCAGCCTTGAAGAGACGTTCTTGTTGCACGGCATCAACGTCATGCACAGTTGGGATTTCGAATCGCCATATTTTGGATTTGTGTGGCCTACCATGAAAAGTGCACGACTAGCTGACATCATAGAGCAAACATACAAAACGACTAGAAGTAAGTGATTTGTCTCAAACCAAACCACAAACACAACACAAGCAAATGCATACCTGTTTTACATACAAGGTGTGGAAATTCATTTGTTCTCCTGTGGTTAAGGAAACTTGTAGAAAATGCTCCCTTTTCTCCCACAAGGATAACTCCTTCGAGCTGAACTTTTCATGATTTCTTGGACTGTTCCTCTTCATTTTCCAACAGATAGATAAAAAATAAAAGAATATTCACAGAGCGCATTTATGGCTTTAGTTAACTCCCTACAGCCCCGAACAAGTTAAAAAAATATATTCTTGTCAACACTCCTATATCCGAGAAATTTTGAAACAAAAATCGAAATTTTATTTTGGAGCCTACTTCTGAAACATGTACCCTCCTTTTTCTCCTTTGTAGTTTATATTTTCCTGGGCGAAGAATATGAACTACAGGCATTCATGGAGGACTTAGACGCCAAAGGTCTGCTCGATGATGGAGAATATCTTGTTGTCACCATATTCGAAGATTCTTTCAAGCCTGAAAAGAAAGATTCATTCTTGACAGGTAAAGACGAAATACGTCAGGTGTATGAATTAAAGTCATGGTTCGTTGGCATGTTTTGTTCGTTGCTTCATGTAGGCCCTAACGCAACTCTTGATGGGAACTTACCACAATCATTATTTCAGAGATCTTGCATCCGTGTGAGCTTTCGTCGTCGTCGTTAACGGGATTTTTGCCTAATGTGCTCCTTTTTTGGTTCATTACCTTAGCCTCTCTTTCCTTTTTTCAATATATAATCCCCGGTGCCTTTCAGGACGTTATCCTATCGGCATGAACTTCATTTGAAGGTTTTTTTTTTATTGGCGTCTGTCAGCACGCGTTGATAACCGAGTTCAAACGCTACCTACCGTTAAGTGCTGCGATGATAGATTTGGTGGCTTTTCTGAGTACATCATGTTCTCTAGTAAAGAGGCGTCGTTCGTTTCTTTTCGAAGACACAGATGTGTGCTTCGCTTTGTTTGAAACGAACACCTGCGGTTGTTTTTTAATGCGTCGATTTTTGAGCGCTTCATTCAACCGAACTTGACACATATGCAGCAAGGTATGAGACAGAGAGAACCCCCCCCCCCGCTTTGTGTTGGTCNCGGTCTCATTTCTTGCTGGGTATAACTTGACGCCGTGTTTCCTCCAAAGGGCGCCATGTTGTCAGCGTTTTCATGGCGAGTTGCAAATAAGCATGGAGGCCTGTTAAACTTTCATTGGGGAGAATTTCAGGGGAAGAAAACATAAAAGTGAATCAGTAAACATCATATAATATTGTATGCTCGTGTGCCTTTTTTCAGCAAAAATGACACGGTTGAACGAGTCTATTACCCTCCCGGAGAGAGTAATATTAGCCAAGCTTTCCTGATATTGCACTTTTACGTTTCGATGCCCGATATGCCTGACCAATTCCAATTAGATAAAATGTGTATTGACCTGTATTGAAGTGAGGGCCGACTTGTCAATCGCACCTCTCCGTTTTCACAGACAAATATCCTATAATAATTGCTATCGGGGCCGAATTGATCTGTAGGTACAGTTGCACTTTAAACGGAGGGCATGCGTTCAGTGAAGTTATTTCAAAATATTCACTCGCATCGGCGTACACATCTCTTTACAAAACGATGACATGTCGAATTTGACGTGGTCTTCTTTTAAGAGAGGTTTGTATTGTCATCGGCGCCTCTGCATTAACAACTCTAATCTAAGCCACGATCTAATACTGCTCCACATTTGAAGTGCATCACATTACGTTAAGGAGAAAAAAGGGTCAGTTATATTGTACCTGTTCGCCTGGATCATGAAAGCACTTTACTCGGGCAAAATTGAGCTGGCTGTACACGCCACAAGACTACAGTTGCGGGTCAGATACGTTTTCGGGAAATGAGCTGTTTACTGTGGGATTGTTAACGGAAACGTGGGGACGGCCCACCCTCGGGAGTTGATGTGTCAGTCATGGAAAGCCGACGCTGAAAAGAGCCCAAGCCGCGTGTGCGCTCTTGAGTCATCGCCGGCTTCAAATTGGCAGGGTGAGGGATGCTGTCCAGAACTTAATGGCTGAGAATGCGTTGATGATATGGGTTGCATTCTCAATGATGCGAAGCTAGCTATTCCCTTTTCTGTGGTTGTGTATACAATAAGTACGTTGCAAGCCATTGACTGTGGGAAAGTGTCAAATTAAGGGCCTGCTGATCCTTAAAGGAAATGGGGAATCACGTTCTGATACGACTTTTGTAAGCCATTGAAACTTCAGAAATCAGTTGCTTAAGGGAGGATTGTTGTCGACGTGTGACATTCACTCAAAGTATGTGCTCAGGTATGGGTGTACATGTACATTCCAGGATAAGGTACGATCAAAATTTGTTGAGTCTGGCCTTTTATAAGGATATGTACCTACGTTCTAGCGACAAATATCGCCAGAAACCTTTGAAAGACAAAGACAGACGTTGACAAGGACGTTTTGGGGAAGCTTGGTGCAGCTAAAGTCGCTGTATTATTTTAATGTGTCATATAAGCTTCGCCATAAGAGAGTCTTACAGTGGGAGTAACTTACCACTCTCGAATCAGCCTGTGATAAGTAAAACTGACACGAAATCGACTGAGCAATAAATTAATTAAAGCATTTAATAAGAGCTGTACAACCGCAACAACAAAACTGGGAGATATTTCAAACCAAAAGGAATAGACGTAATAGGGGGAGAAACGTAGCCATGTTTATTTTGTCTATAAAAATATTCTTTCATTAATAGTCGGTTCATTCAATGTCAGACAGTGTTAATCAACAGTTGCTTTATGCGAATACGGCCGTTTCACGATAGGGTGCCTCCAAGAGTTTGCAACGCTTTGGCCAATCACAACGCTCGAAATTTGTCGACCCTTTCTAAACGCGCATTGGGTCGACAACTTTCGCCCATTGTGATTGGCCAACGTGTTGCAAACTCTTGGTGGCGCACTATTGTAAAACGGCCGTATTGTTTCATCACCGTCAACCTTGGAGACACTATTCATACAGTACAAGTATAGAAAAAACTAGGATGCTTAATTAAAAACTTGAAATGTCAGTCTGTCTTATTTCAGGTGGGCTGTTCAACAAAGAAGGTTTCCAGCCGAAACGTGTCAAATACTTTCGGTCGGTGTTGATGCTGTACTACACCTCTGCTATGAACCCAAATTTCGAGAACTTCCAGCAGCAAGTCATGTACTATCAACAGCAGCCGCCTTTTAACATGAATTACTCTCTCCTGGATAATCTGCATTTGAAACCTATAGTAAGTATGGCCTCTCGGTTCAGTTATTTAAGACAAACTCTTCATGGACAAAACGTGGGCCGACATCGGGAAATGTTGGATGCGTTTGAGTGAATTACGTCGTGTTTTGAACTTTTTTATGATGTGTTCTGTGGCAAAAAGGTATGGAATGTTCGTATAGAACGTCAAACGAAGTGAACCATTTCCAGATGTCAAGTGGGCTTTGAAGCCCACTGTCATTTTACCTACAGTCTGTACAGGAAGCCAAATTTTTCAGAAAACTCACCTCTGGTGGCTTGTTTCGTTTTACCCGTAATTTGTTCAAAATGTACATTTGCCCCCTTAAATTTAATCTGAAAAGGGTCGTGTTTAGGTGCGGGATTTCAACACTTCGTGACCTATTCTTTTACGTATGAGCCGTCGCGACGGCCAGCCATTGTTTCTAGCAGCCACCTTTAGGGAAAAACAAGATTGTGTACTCAGATCACGATATGATCTCTACGGAATTCTCTGTTCAACTTTTCACCACCCTTACATGCATGGTCAAATATATTTAACTTCAATGCGTCCATGCAGTGCCAGGTCTGAAAGATTGTTAAGCTAGAAGCTCATTCCCGAAACTCATCTTTGTTTTCAAGATTTGACAAAAGAAATCGCGATCTCATTCCCTTTCTTGTATCTCTAATCACCAATCGCGTCTCCAAACAATCTGTCTTAAATGGTCCATGCCTGCTACTAAAGAGTTCCGCGGATAGTGCCGTTAAGGCTGTTTCCGATCATTCACGTTCTGTGTAATGGACTCCTCTCTTTAGACTGCCGGTTATCCCGCATCTTTCACCGCCGGTCTCAAGAGCCTTCATGCGATTGCAGCAGTAGAATACCATTAGGCTACGAGCAAGACACTAACTCAAGACGCAAGAACACAACCCCTCTTTATTTGATTTGATGTGTTAAAAGACGTTGGTGGACGTCTGTCACTTTATTTACGTGCCCTACGGACCCAGCTTGCACCCCCGCATCGATGAAGAGCTTCTGCACTCTAGGCGGCTCATGAGCCCCAAGTCCATCAAAAGCACCATCACAACTATTCTTACCCTCTCAGTATGTTGATGTCACACGTAGTGTCATCTCACCCTTCCGTTCAAAACATTCTGTGTGTATCGAAACTAAGAACAATGCGTTATTTGAACTTGTCCCCCAAAGTATCTTCTGTCACATGGAAGCAATTTTCCGGCGACAGAATACAAATTACGTAACATTCATCAAGGCCCTGGATGAATAACTTCGCTCTCCCAGATACGACTACTTTAACATTAACCTTTTGGTTGGTTTTGACCGAGAAAAATTTACCTTTAATTAAAATGCTGTAAAATTTAGGACAAAATAAAATTTTATTCCTGAAACCATTCGAGCACTTTGTTGAGTTTGTGATTCTCATTACTTTTAAATTAAAAAGCAGGATCCCACAAGTCGCCCACAAGTATCACTAAAGGGAATTATCCCCGATCCAAATCGGTTGTTCCTTTCGGACTCCTTTAGCTGAACCCGATAGATAAATATATGAAACGAGCA